GTGAACAAGAATATGCTGTGAAATAGGCTCCCATTTTTAAATAATCTAAACTGATTGTTTTATCTTTTCTAAAATGTAACCTATTGTAAACAGATTAACTTCAAAAAGTGAACTTGCTATAGCCCAGGTAAGACACACACAGGCTAAGTTCAGACTGGCAGTTTGAAGCGGGAGGGAGTCGTTGCAAAAAAGAGCCGGAACGAACTGTTCCGGGTTTTCCCAGTCACACTACGCAGACTGATGCAGAAGCATACCAGGAGGAGGTGCGAGGGAGCATTCACACTGTTGGCCTGGAGGCATGGCTGTAAGCAGCATTTTCCTCACGGCAGGCACCTAGGTGCAGCGGCAAATAGGGCAGGATCCGGCCGTTGTGGGCCATAGGCCAGCGACATAACTACACCTTCTTCAAGGCCTTCCTGGTGCCAGAGTGAGGTTCGGAGGTCAGTCAGAGTAAACGGCCGGCGCACATATTAACACGGGCTGTTCCCAGCTTTTAGCAGTTAGCGTTCACACTTCCAGGAAGCGGAATGAAGTGGGATAAACCAGCTCTCCAGGGTTTGCTACCACTCTCACCAGGTATCTTTTAAATCCAGGAGGCGCTACAAGACGGGTTGAGTACGGGTGGGGAACGCCAGACAGATGTGCCTGTGTGAACGGCCCCTTTAATCCGCTTGTGAAACGTTCCTCACACGGGCCTATATCGGGGCAAACTGCCAGTCGGAACTTGGCCACAGAGAGAGAGAGAGGCATTATAGAAGATGAAACACAGAAGGCTAAAACAAGGGCCAAAGAGGCTCAACATCTAAGGGATGAGAGGGTGGGGGTCAGTTGCCAAAAGTACCTGCATGAGAGAATACTCTTAACCCTTTCCCTTCCAGATCCTCTGGCATGCAGTGTTACAATATCCAACACGTCCTACCCCAGGTAAAAATTGTCACAAGAACCATTAAGAAAGCCCTTGCCTTCATCAGAAGAAGAAGAGAAGAAGAGATTGGATTTATACCCCGCCGTTCACTACCCAAAGGTGTCTCCGAGCGGCTTACAAACTCCTTTCCCTTCCCCTCCCCACAACAGACACCCTGTGAGGCAGGTGGGGCTGAGAGAACTCTTGACAGAAACTGCTCTTTTTTCAAGAACAGCTCTTATCAGAACTATGGCTTGCCCAAGGTCATCCAGCCAGGTGCAAGTGGAGGAGTGGCGAATCAAACCCGGTTCTCCCAGATTAGAGTCCACGCACTTCACCACTACACCAAACTGGCTCTCTCTCTCATCACCTTCCATAGAGAAGACATAATGCAGTCCAGGGCTCAAGTTAGTGTCGTTCAACTGGTGTTGTTTTCGTCCATGATCCTTGCTGCCCCCGTGTTCCAAGCACACAACCGGTCTCTCTCTCTCTCTCTCTTGCACACTAGTAGAACTTCTTCCAAGCGTGGCATGAAACGGCTGGGCCCTTGGCCAAGAGCCACAAGGCAAGAGCCATACCAAGAGGCTCACACCTGTAGCGCACTGACCCTTGGATACTAGGGCTTCATTACCGAAGGCACAGAAAGCACAGGAGGCAGACTCAAGGCAGGTCATGTGGGCATTTCTTCTTCTCTCCCCATCCTGGCTGGACCCAGAGGGGCTCAGAACGCCTCTCTCAGGGCCCTGGTGCATCAACTCTTTGAAGCCAGAGATGACTTCCCTTCCAAAGCTGCAATTACAGAGGCCAAGTAGAGAAGCACCATAAAATCCAGTGCCGTGGCAGCCCAAAAGATGATGCAGGAGAATCAGTGATGGAGTTGAAAGAACAATTTGAAGGTGGACAAGGTTTAGTTTTGTTCCCCTATATATTCATATGTATCTCCTTTGGAACACCACTTTGGCTGGCCCAGTCCTCTGTAGGTGCACACGTGCCAACCTTTCCGATGCCACGACAGAGCCTGGCAAGTAGCACTTGCCAAGTTTCTCCCCGATAGGGTTGCCATCCTCCAGGTGGGGCCTGAAGATCTCTTGGAATTAGAACCAATCTCCAGGCTGCAGAGATCAGTTTCCCTGGAGAAAATGGCTGCTTTGTAGGGAGGGCTGTATGGCGAGTAGACCCGGATGATTCACCTCCTCTCCCCAAACCCCATCCTCACCTGGTTCTATCCCCAAAACTGCAGGAATTACGCAACCTGGAGTTGGCAACCTTACTCTCCAACCTTATTCTTGAATTATTTTATCTAGAGAGCCAGTTTGGTGTAGTGGTTAA